CTCTAAACTCAAGGCATAGGTCAGGTACAGATTAAAAGCAAACAAACAAAAAGCCCAAACACAGGAACACTGAGAATCTTGACTTTGTTGGAAAAAGAAATTGTATTAGAAGTTGGAAGAGAGAATAATAGAATATTGAGTAGACAGAAGAAGTATCATTAAACCATTTCCCCAGCCATTCTAAATGGATATGAGGCAATACGTGGAGGGCTTTCTCTGTATTATTGCTCAAGTGACTAGAGGAGAGCTCCCTTTCCTTTTTGTCATTCTTCAGTACTGTGTTGGAACGACAGTGAGTTCCCATAATGTCCGTGGGCACTTCATAGCCCACCTTGGGAATCAAACTACGACATCACGTGGTGCTTTTAAAAGCTATTTGTCTTCAGTTTACTGCACACACATTCCTGTCTTTAATATCTCTTCCTCCCATCTATTTCCCAATAGTATATTAGCGCTACACAAATATATAATTTCTCAGTGTTAATTAGGTGTCACTTAAATCTTCCTAATGATGTAGAACAGACCTGTTTATTTATGTTGTATTTCAACTTCTTTTGGATTTTGATTGTTTTAATCACTGAAAAAATTCTGCTGTTGAATTTTATAGTGAGTATAAAGAAGGTATCAACACAATTATGTAAATGAATTTTATTTTGTTGATATTTTCAGGTAAGTTTAGATCAGTAGGCATAGCTTTAATTCTGTACTTTGAACCTCAATTTAAGATCTAAAAATGCAGGAATCTGGGTTTGTAGCTCAGTGACAAAGCACACAGGATGTAAAGTGTTTGGTACCCAGTATCTCCCCGCAAAAATGTCTATGTAAAGTAGAAATTTAGAGTGATATTGAAGAAGTGTTCTGTCTAAGGTGTGGTATTTAAAATGCACTATTCATTGCAAAAGTAAAACATTTGTATAACACATATAAAAATCATAAAAGAAGGTGTTTTCCACCCAATATTTCATCAATATTCTTATAACTACACACTAGATGGCTTGTAGCATAAAATTTACTAAATTAGAAAGTAAAATATATTTTTTACAATTATTTTCAGTAATTATGACTAACAGTTATTTTCTCTGAATATCAAAGATCAGTGCGAATGACCAGGAAGCCCTTAATCCGTCCCTCAGCTTGGCTGAACTTTAGACAGGCTTATTCTTGACTGGAGGTCTCTAACCTCCCTTTACTTTAAGCAAGTCTTTTTATGAGAGCAATGTAATTGTAAATCTTATCTCTGCCCTTTGAGATGTAAATAATTTTAAAAGCCTCTTGCCAGGTTTACAACTCAAGGCTGTCTTTCCCAAGGATCTACAAATTTTCCCTTTGAAATGTAACCTTCAGGGGAGCCAGGGCTCTTTCTGTTGGTTTCTATGGAAGGTTAGGAGCTTAACTTTGGCTGGAGTGTCCCTCTAAACTGTAAAACTATCTCCTGTCTTGTCATTTACATTTCCTTGAGCAAGGTTAATTAGAAATGGCCTATCACCCCAACAGGAAATACCTATAACCCTCAACCTCAGCTCTTAAAATCACTCCACACTTTCCTTGCTGGTTATTTTGTAGGAATGAATCAACTTCTGTATACTCATCTTGTCTAGTGTGACTGTTTGATTTAACTAAGATATGGGGATTCTGGATTTTTACTGTCTGCTAAATAATTTGGGCAATTTACATGTGTGAGTCTCAATCTCCAATTTGTATATGAGGATTTTTAGAATTTACCTACTCGGTACAGTGGTGGTACATATCAAAAGAAATGATCTAGATAAAACACCTTACAGAATAATGCATAGAAATTGCTTAAAACTTTAAATGTAAAAACAACCTAAAGGATTGAATAAACAGTTACAAAAAAATCTACAAACACACGAAGTAAATGTTCCATGCCTACTGTATTTTTTTTTAAAAAGGTGAGTTCCAACAACAGTGAAGTGGTAATTTACAACCATCACAATGTCACAGATGTTTAAAAATATGCCTACAGAGTTGGCAAGTGTTTGCAGAAGTAGACACTCTCCTACCAGGAAAAGGAACATAAATTGTTGTATTTAGAAAGGTTAATCTGTCCACAAATATAAAATTGTGCCTTCCTAGAAATTCTACAATCAAGACTAAGAAAGGGTCCAGGCTTCATTAAAATTAGCCTCTGAGGTTCTTCACAGCTTATATTTAATTATGAAGAATTAGAATTGACCTAAGAAAGTAGATATATATTAAACACATCATTGTGCAACTATATAAGGACATGTACTCAATAAGCATTTAGAATCACATTTTACAACTTTTATGCATTAAGAAAGTTATGATAAAATGTGAAATGAATAAAAAGTAAGACTTCATATATTGTCATCCATATATTGTACATCAAGAAAGCTAGATAAAATTTCTAAAATACATTAGAATACATTAAATGTAATATAATCTTCACAGTGTTCTGTTATTTCACAAAATATGAAAATGATCAGGTAACTATTTTTGATAATTATTCTATAGTTAAAAAAAAAACAAGATTTTCTTTTAGGTCATTACTTTTCTAATAGGAATTTGTTTTATGGCTTTAAAACAATATTACAGGCTAAATACACATGTTTTCCCTGTGCATTTTCTTCACATAGGTGTCAAGTGGTATTTCTAAGATATATTATGCTAATTGACGTTGTGCCTTCAAAACAGGAAAAGTACATTCAATTTGGTCAGCACAGTCCTAAGATCCGGGCTGCAGGGAGCCTGGAATACAACCTGTTTGACTCATAATAAATCCTTGTAATTTATTGGATCATTTCTCCCCTGAAAGGAAAAAAATGCTATTACTAGCTATCACTAGTTCATTGACTATAGATTAACATAGAGGACCAGAAGTCTAAATACAGTCAAAATAGCATTGATTCAACAAGGTTGCTGCTGATGTTAACAAAGACTCATAGGAGGACTTTATTAGTTCAGAAAGTATAAAACTCTTCTACTACCGTTTTGTCTCTAAACCAATATTTTCCTTTGAATACTGATTCTTATTTTTATTTCAAACATGTATAGATGGTAAACCAGTTGGCATACATGATATAATTTTAAGTTGTTAGCTATGTTTCCAGGAAGAAATTCAGGAAGTTCAAACTAAATAGTTATGGATTTAAAGTCATAGAGAGCAAAGTGAGTTCCAAAACTTCTGTGAAACTTGCTGCCGGTCACATTATCTTCTGGCTGGAAATGAAAATGACACCTGGAAAATAGAACTACCATTTTTAAGAGAAAGAATCCAAAGCTAATAATCTCCTTACTTAATAACATTGTGGCTTGAAATAGGATAGTTTATCTAATTTGGGTAAAGGAAGAAGCAGTACTGAGTCATGTGTATAGTATTTATGCTGGTTTTTTGGTACAAAAGTGATAATTACAATTTTATTATAGGTAATTACTTAAAAGATGACAATACCTGTACCTATTTTTGCACAAATACAATCACTCAATGCTATACTAAGCTAAAAATTTGGGAAAATGCACACATGAAAACTCAGGGATATCTAGTGGACCCCTTTAGAATTTTGAATGTTATGGATAATATAAGTATTTATCTACTATTTTAAATATCTTATTTTGAAATGATGTTAGACTTATAGAAAAGTCATAAATATTAGAATTGCTTTACTTTTATCCACCTAAAGCTAATGTTAACGGTTTACAGACTCCATAAAACAGTGACAGAAACCAGAGAATTGTATTCACAAACTAGTTTTCACTAATTTACAGTATTATTTACAGTATTATTTGATCTTTTCCAGTTTGGACAACAGTGGAATTTCAGCCCCAGAATCCTACCCAGCATCTTATATTGGATTTTACTGTCACATTTCCTTAGGTTTCTCCTGTTTGGGAAATTCCTTAAAGATATTTTTCTGCCATAACTTTGAATGTTTTTATGAATAATAGTCAGTTATTTTGTGCAATCCCTTAATTTGTCTTTATCTTATATTTCTCCTGAGTAGACTGAAGTAATAGGTTTTTGGTAAGAACAATGCAGAAGTGATAATCAGCCATTCCCAGTACATACCATGATAAATTTACAAAATGTTATTCCAAATATACTTGCCTTTGATAGTAGGTTATATTCTTAGATTGCTAAGCAAGTGAACTAAGAAAGTGCCCATACTGAAAAATTCATAGTTATGCTTATGGCGACTGATCCACAATCATCCTTAACGAAAACAAGTCATGTTTTTGAACATTAACTCCACTTCAAATACCAACCTGTAGATATGAAGACTTAGAGCTTTTCTATTTAACAAAAATGAGACTAACAGAGAAGTAAGCAGAATAAAACAATCAGAATGGTGCAACATTAAAAGAGAAATAGCTGTTCTAATACAGGGTCTTGGGGAGAAGAGAAAAACTCCTGGGATGTATATGGTTCAATTTATCAGAAAACATCTGCATTTAAAGATATTGGTAACCTAACATGAATGATGATTTTTTTACTGGCATATGGGAAATCTGGGAACTATATGTATACATATATAATGAAGATCTAGTATTACATTTGAGAGAGGTGATATGTTTAGTGGTAGGAGAAATAAAGACCTGCTTTCAAAATACTTCTTCAAACCTTAAGAGACATACACAGAATAATAAGAAAGGTAATTCAAAATGTGATTAATATTTAAAATTATACTATCACTTTTTCTTTTGGAAATCTCCCCCAACAAATCTAAAGAGCTGATTCCTTTGGTGAACATGGGATTCAATTTGTTTTCTTTCAGTTGAGGTAGCCAAGAATTCCAGGACACAGTTTATGTTTTGTAGGCAGAGAAAATAGTTTCAACAGTGACTCCAGGGCTAGAGTTAATTATAACAATGGGCTTTGGAACTCACCTGTATTGCTATGGGGCAGGCCTAAGTCCTGGAAATTTAAATTTAGTGAAAATTTGCCTGCTTATTAATTTCATTTAACAGTTTGTAACTCCACCCCTTCAAACTGAAGTGGTTCTTGGTGAGCAGACTAAGACACTGAGCGGTTCAAAAGTCAGGAGAATTTCTGAATGTGTTCAACTTGTTCTTCGTCTCCATGTCTTGTATCACAGGGAGGAAGGTAATTTGCAATTTTTGGAGTGTAACTATGTCATATTTTCTGGTGGACAGATTAGAAATGCCCATAAATATGACTTAAGCAATACAAGTTCAGTAGTTTCAGAACATTTAAAAATGGCCTTAAAAATTAACACAAATATATTATGAAGTAACAGTAAAATGCTGATAGTGGTTACCCTGAAATCAATGTTTGTTACCCGCTGAAGATATAGTTTTTGCTACCAAGAGTGAAAAGTCATATATATATTACAAACCAAAGCTTATATATTTGTATGATTTTTTATGAACATTGCCTACTTAGAAGGCAATATCCTTTTTCATTAACTTTCAGTGAAGTACGTGAAGGAAAAGGTAATGATATGATCCTCTCCCTGTGCTATAGTGTATCAAGCATTCTATCCACCCTCTGCTGTTCCAACTTTATTTTCTGAGCTCTTCCAAGCATTATGTACTCTACTGCTCCACCCTTTCTTTATTAGTCTCAGATCTGTCAAATTTCTTAGCTGCCAAGTATAAAATGAAGGACAAGCTAATCACTGAACAAGATCAATGGCATTTCTTACAAGGGACTGAAAGGTACAAACAATGATAATGAAATTAATTGTAGTTTCCCATGTTTGAGATAGTAATGCAAGGCCTGCTACAAGCATGCTATTGTACCAACACCATTAATTTGCTACAGGGAAAATTAAATTCATAGACATTGGTCTGGGAAGGAAAAAGGAACTTTTCTTGGATACTATGGCTTCTCAGTATTTCATGACCTCAATGGGGATCTGCACACTGCTTACACAAGAATCAAATTAATATGATTCTCCTCTCTGAGCCCTCTGGACAACATGCTTGAAATTATAATTATTAAATTACTGCCTAGTGTTAATTGCTTACTTACAACAAATCAATTGTTTCATTAAAAAAAAATTTGAAATAGTCAACCGGAAGAGCATGGTTCAAAGAAGCTGATACAAAATTGGGAAAGGGTCACAAAAAGAGAGCAAATAAAATATGTGTAGAGAAAACCCGATATCATTGCCATAAGGTATAGGAATCATACCATAATTGTAATTTTAATTATATAAGTTATTTTAACTACTTAATTTTGCATATTTAAAAATATATGCAAATAATATGTTATCAAACCTTCATGAACTAAAATATTAAAGTGTGAATTTATCTGTAATAGGAGTTATGCTCAAACAAATTACTCTCTGTGCATGAACGTACAACCTTATAACATTTAAATAAATTATTGTGCTACCCTAAATGAACTTCAATTTTTTTTTCATATTTTATCTCTCTCAATGTTTCACAGCTCTCTGAGAGTGATACTGGAAAAACTGCTGAGCTCTTTAAGAACACATGTTAATAATAGTCAAAAATAAAGATTTTTGCTTCATGTCATGGCAAAATACCATCTTGTCTCATTTTTCGTTAGTTTTATTAACAAAACAAAAACTTTACACAAGGGACATTCAAGTCAACTCATAACTTTATTACTAAAAGCACCATCTGCTGGTTAGTAGACATGGATGCATTTTCAATCTGTTTCCCTTGAGATATTTTGATAAAATAAAAAATTGAAGCACATCTTTTTCTTGCATGCCTTTACAAATTCCCCTCTGCATATTGAAGTTACAAGCCTTGAGAAAAAGGAGGTGGATTTTATTGGCAAAATGTTTCATTCTGTATGTGTGCATGCACTGGAAATAAATTTTTCAGCTAGTCTTTTATTAGAAATCTTAGGTACAGAAATGAGATTATTTTCTGATCTAAATCCATCTTATAAATCATCAGCAGAGCAAAAAGAAAACCCACAAACTTGGAAAAAATTTTAGCTGACTGTCCCTCAGACAAAGGGCTTCTATCTAGAACATATAAAGAATTAAAAAATATCAGCCTCCCCAAATTCAAAGACCCAATCCAAAAATG